TCGAATACTCGTCAGCGAATAATGACAGTAGTAGTAGTAGGAGTGTCAAAGATTAACCATTAAATTTAATTAAAACTAACGAAGTATTTAACAAATTTTCTATTTTACTTAGTGTCACTATCGTATATAGTCAAATATCTGGGAATAACCCTGGAACAGGCATATCAAGGACATTACCAGCAAAGCCACAAAGGCTCTCATGATATGCAGAAGATTAGTGGGAAATAGATGGGGCTGCGTCCCTAACATTTTGCGCTGGATACCTGTGGTGCAGTTGCTTGGTAACCTAACCTAACTAGAACCGTTCTGTTTTCCAAGCGGGAACCAAATGAAGGCAGAACTGAAGAATATGGAAGACTCCAGAAGCTGGTATGGTGTGTCTTCCAACGGTCTAAGACACTCGAAAAAGTTCCTCAGAACTTTCAACACAAACGCAAAAATTTTCGTTGATTTAAGTAAGAACAATCTTCGGATTGTCACGGGGTTTCTAACAGGACACTATCTCTACAACGAACACCTCAGTAGGGTGAAGCTGAGAAACAACTGCAAATGCAGATTCTCTGAGGAAAATGGGGAAACATCAAAGCACGTTATCACTGAGTGCGCTGAGACGACGACCGTTCGTGCCATTAACTTTGGTACGACTGCTTTCGAGGATGGAGAGCTGGCCTCTGTAGAGCCATCTCAGATACTGGCTTTTGTTAAAGCCCTGAGACTGTATGATGAGTTATAACTCGTTATAACTAAAGAAAGGGGACCATACAATAGATCTGTAAGGTAGCGGTGATTAACCCCCTCCTAAACATTCTACATTCTACATTCTAGTGTCACTATCTTTCCCCAAGAGCCCACCATATATTCACCATTTCAATATAAATTTTTCATAATTAACAATAATTATTCAAATGTTCTTAGAGCACTCCAATAATTATCTCTTTCAATATCAAATTTTTGATATTTCCCTCATCTCTGACCACTGCGCGACGTCGAATTGGAGCGTGGGAACCGGCGGCATCCCGCGAACATCGATACCGACCGGGATTGTCGCCGTTTTCCCGCAATAATCGTTCGGAGACGATTTTTCCCGCACAATAACGACGATCCAGCCGGGGAAAAGCGTACGGCGCGGCGTGCCGTTTTCGCGCTATTTACCCTCCAACGTTTCAAGTGGTTCGTGCTTTCTCTCGCTCTCACTGACTAGCCCTCCCGTTCGTACTCTTCGCCGGCCTTTTTTTGCCAGCGCGCTCCTTTATTTACGGTTATCTTATTCACATCGGCGGGTTTTCCTTGCTAAACTGTTGATTCCGTCACAGCCGTGGAAGACGACAACAGTTTTCCGATGTATTTACGTTTTACGATGAAGGAGACGGCGCGGCGAGGAGATTAGTACGTAGCGGGGGAAGGATTCTTTTAACCGATAATATTTTCTCTCCTTTCTGATATAAAAAAGTTTATCGAAGGATTATTATGTATTTTCGATAACGGTATATTTACAAGCTTTATTTAATTTGCAATGTTACGTTGTATATTTTGCTTTTAAAATATCATAATTTTTCAACTACTTCTTTTAAAAGAATCTTATGAAACTTTGCATACACTTTGCGTCTCCATTAGCACACAACATGATAATTCCCACCATCCACGTTATCCAACTATCCGTTATATTTTCTATATTTATTGTATGGAGACTAAAATGGTATGTATAGCATTTCTAAAGTCAGTTGGAATAGTTTGAAGCTCTTAATTTCGGTATTTCGCCTGAATAGATGTAACATAATAGTATCATTTACTTGTTAAATGTTGTATTTCATTCGTATTCCCAATTCCCAGAGTTATCTACTCAAGTTGAAATACAAAAATTCTACTATCTTTTTTTCTAGATAACATGCGTCTCGTATCATCATATATTGTGAACAGAATTATTGTGTTATGTAATTTAAAGTAGTGATATTCCATATATCGATATTTTTTCTATGACAGCTTATAAATTTTATTATGTTATCATCATAAATTTCATATACCGGGTGCGTCTTAAAAATGGCCCATCCCTATAACTTTTTATTTTTTCAGATAAAAAAAACGATATTTTTTATGTTAATGTATGAAATAAATTAGGATTGATTGACGTATTTAACTCGTTTCGACCACTTCCTTTTTCACCGGAAATGACTACAACTTTTGATTTTTAAATGGCACCCTCAATGTCAACTTTTGATATTTTCGCTTAAAACAAACTTGTATTTTAAATTGCAGTCTAGTGTGCCATGGCTGTGTTAAAAACACTAATTTTTAATCAAGGAGCCTTGGAAAAATAGATTTGATTTTATTGGTGATTTTAGTGTCTTGTCCTGGCCGGTTAAAAGATGCCCAAATCGTATTTTTATCATATCTCAATTTTTTCAAATGGAACGAGGATGGCTCATTAGCATATTTGAAAAAAGCACTTTTTTACGTATAATTTGATACCACAAACTAGGTATTTCGTGTCAAATTGTCGTTATGAATCGTATTTGGCAATTTCAAATAAGCCAAATTCGAAAATGTCAAAAGTTGACATATGAAGTTGTCTGATTCTATTCAGAGTATCATTTTCTATCGAATAAACTAAAAAATACCGAGGGTGCCATTTAAAAATCAAAATTTGTCATTTTCGGTGAAACAGGAAGTGGCCAAAAACAATTTAATACGCCATTCAATCCCAATTTATGTCATATACTAACATATCAAATCTCGTTTTATTATCTTTAAAAAAATAAAAAGTTATAGGGGTGAGCCACTTTTGAGACTCACCCGGTATATGTTGTTATATCTTTTACAATTAATTTTCGATTTACTAAAGAATTTCAACGTTACAATAGCTAGTGTAACTTTGTATTTGGTGAATAGATATAGGGTATATTTAATTTGCTATAAGAATACTCTTTTATAGCTTTATAGGAAAAGTTTTTATAACTTTTACAGTTATTTTTCGATTTATTATAAGTTTGTAAACAAGTTGAAATTTTAATTTAAATCCATGATTAAAATAAAAAATCAGTTGATTTAAATTATTGCACCCTGATTACAAATATAGGGCATGACACTTTAAAATAAACATTTTGACTTTAGAAAAATACACTTAACTTATTGTTTAAACATCCTTTAAATTAATTTTTTTTTTTTAAAATGTAGTACAGTTTATGAAAAAAAGGTGATAATTAAGTCCGAGATTGATTTAAACTCAAGTCATCTAGTTTCATATATAACATAAACTTAATGATCTGTTAACCATAAGATAAATCAATAACGTCATAATAACGACAGCAGAGAATTTCTAGAGCATATAGAGGCGGCAGCAAGTCGAGCCGCGCTAGTTTTTGACAGAGTCTAGCTGTCGCCCTGCGAGGGGATAAAATAAGGGGCGACCGCACCACCGATCGATATAACTCGCGGCGTGTATAGGACTTATGCTAATAAATTAGACGGAACTCTAAATAGACCGCAATGCAGATCGATGCACTATCACACGCTATAAAAATCTCTCCCCCTCCTAATCGTGATTCGGTCCCATGATAATAAATAGGCAGTGTTTCGTATCGTTGTTTTATGTCGGCCGAGTATATCACGCGAATACCTAACCTAATCATTAATTCCATTAATTCGGGAATTCATTTTGATAGCGCGATAGTTAAAATGGCCCGCAGGGTAATTTTTGCGCAAAGCACTAAAAAGTGAAACTTTAGCGTTGTTATACTGAAGGTTAATCAAAAAGAACTTAATTTATTTCAACAACATTTACCAATACATACAGAGAGGTCCACAGACTTCGAGACATAGGAAAAATCAAGTCCATTTAGCGTGTGTCGCAATTTTCACACCTTATGTTTTTATAGCTATAGCAACTGCAGCGACTAAGAAAAAAGTTGTGTGGTTTTTATAGAAAATAAGGGCACCTGTAATTCATTTGAGAATGTTATAAATCGCTAAAGATTTTTCAAATCTTGGATTTCTATTTCTATTAATATTAAATAAATTTTATTAAAAATTGAACTAAAATTGTTAGTATCATTAAAAACAATTCAAATTCAAAAATTGTATCAGTCAAATTCCCTCATTTAAGGTGAATATTAAAGTAAATATAAATACAGCTCATTCTAAGCTCTCCTTATCTTTAAGAAAAATTTAAATCATTGGTGCAATTGGGCCTTAATGCCATTTCGAATGAATGATAATGTTAATAATGTATATTATAATAATAAATTTTATATCATAGTGTGTATTAAAACTACTAAAACACTATTAAGGTTACCTAGGTTAACCCACCTTTAAATGAGTTCTTGAGTTGCCCAAGTACGAGATAATAATATGCGATTAACGTGTAGTGTTGACCAAACTAACTTCTTAACAACCTCTACATTGCGAATCCCAATTCATATAAAAGGCATATGTTGGGGGACTACTATTTTTGTATATATAATAATAATCACTTTTTATACTTATACTTCACAGAACAGAAATGCTGTATGATTATTCTTGCTATTTTATCCACTTTGTTAGTACTTCCCATTTGTTAGTATTTCTTGATCAGATAATTCTCATTATTTTACTCTACCATCACCCATCACGATTTATATACACATAATATTTCATATATCATCTTACATCTTATCATTAATTTCATTAACTGAAATCGAATTTTGGCGCAGTCTGCAGGACACGTGAGACTTAGACTATATATCAATAGGTATTAATTTTCTCTTAGAATCTCCTTCATTACTAATTAATAATACGATCATTGGTTCAAAAAAATTACATTCTTTGACGGATCCGATATTTATCTAAGAATAAGATTATTTTTCCAAAGAGTTCAGTTGTATATATAAACATACTTACTACTTGTATTGATTTAAAATAATATTAAAGCAGTTTGGTTTCAATGAAACAGACATATTTAGAAGAGAATATCCTCGACAAATGATAAATAACTGAAAGACAAGCTAAAAGTAACTTGTTATAGTTACCTCATATAGTCCTGTTTGCACAAGATCATGCCTCCTTTGGTGAAACACGACGTGCCAATGTCGGCCAGCATGGCGCCACAACACGAACACTTTAAACAACCGTTGTGCCAGTAGCGATCGAGGGCGTGCAACAGAAACCGTTCGACAATTTTACCCCCGCACCCCGCGCAAACTTTCACTGTGCCGTTATTGTTGTTGTTGTTGTTCGCTATGCTGGAGTTGTTGCTGTGCTGTTGCTGGTGGTGGGGCCCGTCCGGGGTGGGCGTGCCGCTGTTGGTGTAGGCCGGGTGCTGGTGGTGGTTGTGGGGTACTGAGTCGTGTGGTCCGTTTAATCCTGAAATTAGAAATCGAGTTAGATACTGCCTGGTTTGGTTTGGTTTGGATTATTGTGATAAAGTGAGTTGAACCGCATATAACTAAACATATGTCTCAAAATTCATAACACTCAATTTTAAGACACTCTCAAATAAAATTATTGATTTTTAAAATATTATTCGCAAACTGGGGAGAGGGAAATCAGACGACGAACAGAGATAATAGGTGTTAAGTAATAGCTTGACCGTTCGAGACGCATTGATGTTATTTTGGTTATTGAGGCAAAGAATGTTATTGAAGGTACAGTCAATGTTTCCTCATTATTTAACTAGTGTTAACTAAAGACTATTATTTTGTTTTCCCCTTGTAATATTCTGTTCTAATTTTTTTTATTTGATCTGATAAAGATAATATATAACATGAGTATGTATTTACTGTGAATAATGTATTATGCTGTGAATAATTTCAGTTTAAAATTAATCGTTTACTGTCCATTCATGCCGATGTTTTTGGTTCAGTGTGACAATAAGGACCTTGTTGAATGTACTTTTTGATGTACAACACTTTTCGACCGTGAATGGGCAAATATCTTAGCTCACAAAAGAGCAATCAAAAACTTTAGCTTCGAGACTCGCAAAAAGAGACCTTAGTACCTGCGGGTGGGGACCTATTAAACTAACAAACACCTCTGCCGTTTTAAATGGAATAAATTTAGGTTCGTAGGTTCTTTTATTTCATTTAAAACGTTTACAATACAATTGGCCAAAATATTACCTCTTCAACTTTGTGGAACGACTCTGGGTTGTTACACTACAATAGAAAAAATGTTTTAGACAAATATACTAGCATTTCTACAGATAAATTAATAGGAAAAAAATAATAATATAATTAAGAAATGTAATACTCAAAAATTATAAAGGATTTTGATATATTTATGCTTCTATTAAAATATAATCATTATATTAATCTCACTCACAATAACAAAAACGAATAATTTCCAAATAAATCGACCCTGACAGTCAAAACGCTAATTCCAATAAAACACTGTCAACAAACCGTTCAGAGATTACTGTTAATTATTTTTAATTAGACGAACCGTCTGATGAACCGAATAGCCTCAGTCTCGTCTCATGAGGAGATTTATTATTTGGTTAACCCAATTTACTATGAGAAAACGGCCTCGAGGAAAATAACAACGTATCTCTACGATCGGTTATTTTAATAAGTTCCACGTGTTCCCCATCGAAAACCAAAGGCTAACGAGCAATATTATTTATAATAAAAATTAATTAAAACGGAGGACGACGACGATGCCTTCCCAATTAAAGAAAATAAATAGATAGTAATTAGTGTTTCATTAGTTATTTCGTACCGCTACGCTTTAATTGGGGTTTTGTTGATAAATCCCATTTAATTTGTTTTCGGGTCTCTCGTACAGGTTCACGAGCTGAATTGATATTTCAGAACTATCGATTATTTAAAGAATTATCTCTGGATATTAAGTTTCTCATGTTCAAAATTCTTGTATCATAACACGAATAAATATTTTTATTTTTCAGTTGCAGATGATTTAGTTATCTTTGCAAGAAATCGGAAAGAGCTGATATCGGTGATTTGACTTGAAGTAGACTTAGTGTTTAATGAGAAGAAAACGAAATTTATGGAGTGGTCAGATAGGAATTTTGAGAAGGAAAGATGTCTAAGTTTAAAAATCAGAATGTACAAAACAATGATACGAGCAATAGAGCTTGTATGCATGTGAAAAGTGGACGTTCAATGCAACGGAAAGTTCGAGGCTAGAGATTTGTGAAAGAAAAATACTGAGGAAGATTTTTGGAGGAAAGCTTGAGATGGCTGGGACACATTGAAAGAGTGGCTGCAGCAAGAATTCCTAGTATGATAATGAAACGTGAAATAGGTAGAAAGAGAAGGAAGGGTAGACCGAGAACCAGATGGAGAAAGGATGTTGAAAAGGACTTGAGAAGGATAAGAGTGGATGAGTGGAGAGTAAAGGTGAAAAACCTAAACAAATGGAGAAAGATAACCAATCAAGCCATGAGTCTTTTTAAAGCTATTAGATATATTTTGTTCAAGATGCTATTCTTAGCTATTCTTTTAGATATTTAGATGTTACTAATGTTGCATAGGTAGTTTAGATTAAATTCTTCCAGATGGCTATAGGCCTGATCCACTGACACCCTCTCCCCCTCTCTCTCTCTCTCTCTCTCTCCCTCGCTCTCTCCCTCGCTCTCTCCCTCGCTCTCTCCCTCGCTCTCTCTCTCTGTCTCTCTCTCTGTCTCTCTCTCGCTCTCTCTCTTTCTCTCTCTCTCGCTCTCTCTCTTTCTCTCTCTCTCCTCTCTCTCTCTTACCACTTTTCTCTTTTACTTTTTGGGTGAAAATTTCATTCGAAACGCTAAAAGTACTTAGAACGCAATTAAAATAAATCGAAAAAATATTAAGACTTTAACACCCTGTAGCTACGAAAAAAAGCAGAATCGGAACTATGTTGATATGAACATGTTTTTGAAACACCTTGCAAAACTATTATCGTATCGAAAGCAAGTAAATACCTAGTTTCTAGTAAAACAGCAAAGGTGAAGAGAATCTTAACTCTGATTGTTTCAGATTTTAGATAATGGTTCGTTTCAGGTTTGGTTATGGTCGTGAAAAGATTAAGAAGTTAATTAGAAGACTGTCGGAAGAGCCGTAAACATTTCCGTAACTTTTTATAAATATTAATTAGACTGAATGGCTCGAAAATTCTATACCGAGCCACTCCTTAATTACCTGCACGCTTAAAATAAATTACGACGAATAGCGGTTTGAATTCGAATATTAAAAAAATAATTAAAGTGCTCGTAAACATATCGTCGGTGGAATTTTATCATCGTTTGGCTAATATTTAGTAATAATTGACCACAGTCTTACATAATAGGCTAGTCAGTCATGTTAGACAATGAATCATTCATGCATTAACAAGGGTATTTTATTTTTCTAAAATCATAAATTAAGAGTATTAATTTTATGTGTTTTTGCCTACAATGAGACAATTCTAGTTTTAATAAAATCATTAAAATATACCGAGTGAGTCTCAAATAAGTGAAAATATTTTCAGGGCTGGTAGATCTCGGTAAAAGAAACATATTTTGTTTTTACCGTTTTTCAAAAAAGTCCAAAATAACAGAGTTATTTTACTTTGAAAACTTCTAAAAAAAATATTTTTTGGATAAATTTTGAGAACCGCTGGCTCTTTTAGGTTATTTTTTCTTGTAAATTTAATCAACTACCTATATTGCCATGTTGTCAAGAAATTATGTTTTTTAACTAAAATCCAAAAAATATCCAAATTTTCAAAAAAAAAATAAATTCGCGTCGGCCATATTTGATGCGCCATTTTTAATTTTGCGAATCCGACGTCAGACTCGTGATCAGTGACTCATTTGGTTACAAATTCGCGTTCAGCAACCCAAAAACTCCCATATACAAACTTTTGTCCAAGTCCGTGCATTTTTTGAAATTGGCATCAGCCATATTGGATACGCATTTTGAATTCTGCCAATCCAACGTCAGATTCATGATCAGCGACTCAAAAAAACCTATACCGACTGTTAAGTGTTATATTTAACTTTTGCTAAAATTCCAAGTTTTCCTTTTTCCTTATATTAATTTAAAATCTGACAACCGCGCCTTAAACATCATATGGCACGCGGAGAGGAAGACCGGGAAGGCGACCGAATATATGAGCTCTGTCGTCTGAAGAGATTAGACTAATTAAGTTTTTCTTCCACATAATTACTAGATTTATTATTGTATTTATATTAAAATAAATAGTAAACAAAATATACACAGTCCACATCTTTTATTAATAAAAACTACCAACAAACATAGGACCATTTGAACGAAGAAAAGCAGAACCAGACGAAAAACAGAAACAGAGAAGAGAGCCGTCCGCCATTGCCAGACTGCATCACCAGAGAAATAGCAGCGGAGTTGTGCAACAATTGCTTCCTGTGAATTCTGTGAGTCCTATCCATATTATTATTATTGTATTGATCGGTTACGTATAATTTAATTAATTTGTTTCGAAGTAATCGCATCTATAATACATAATTATTTTATTTCAATAATTTAAAATGTCGTCAGAATTATCAGATGCTGACAAAGCCCTTTTAGTAAGTTTAAAACGCCAACGGGCGGGGCATAAAGGCACTCTTACTAAATATAAAAATTATATAGATTAAATTAATATAAGGAAAAAGGAAAACTTGGAATTCTAGCAAAAGTTAAATATAACACTTAACACCGACTTTGGTTAAGATCCGTGAGGTTTTTGAAAATCATGACTTGTCGTAGGTTTTTCGAAGTTAAAAATATGAGACAAGCTATCTCAACTCTGATAGGCGTTTTGAGTTTATCAGGCACATTTTTATTAGGTTATAGTGTTATACATTCCTGAATTTTCCGGGATTTTCACCAAGTTTTTGAGGTTAGAAAAAAAATGAGACGTGATGTGAGATTACTGGTAAAAATACAACAAACGTATTATTGTTAGCATTATCTAATGAAAGAATATAGAGTAAATATTCAATACAAGATACACCCCTGGTATCCCGGCTGATATAGATCAACTCAACTAATGGTAGTGCACAAATTAATACAAAAACGTTTGCTTTTTCTTCATACCATTTTCTGCAGAGTCGGATATAGCTATTTTCTGAACCCATTTACTTTAATCAAAAAATAACAAAAAGTTACTGCCCCATAAAAAGTTTCTTTTAAAACCGTGCCACTCAACTAATTATATAATAAACTCTTTTTATGACCTCTTTTTTATAACGATTAATTTAACTGCCGCCTTTTATTCTACGGCATAATTAGCTCGAGAGTGGATATTTTTTGGTCTGTATTTAAATTTTTTGATTTAACTATCTAACGCGAAAGCGAAATAAAAAGGCACCGATAGAGATCTAAAAACGGTGCGCCCATATGTTTTCTACTTTGTTAACACGCCAGTAAAACGCACCTTGGGCCTGTTTTATTACGCGTTTTCATATACCGGGTGTTTCACGAACTTGTGAAATTGGAATCGGTAAGGCTTTGCGGGTAGTGGAAGTGGGTCCAAATATTAAAAACAGGGTCAAGAATCGGAGGTCAGCTTTCTACTTTATCGAATTGTTATCGATGACTAAAATGGCCTGAAGGAAAAATAATGACGTAAAGTAAAATGATTGCTAATTGAGCGTCTGAGAGGAATAGGTAGAAAAACTGCTGGAAAACGGTAGAAATATAATATTCGTCTTATAGCATCATACTCTACCGGGTCTTTCTCAAAAGTGATTTGCCCCTATAACTTTTTTATTTTTTTTTCAGATAAAAAACGAGATTTAGTACCGTAGTGACATCAATCATTCAATTGTTGTCAGTCACTTCCTGTTTCACCGGAAATTACTACAGCTTTTGATTTTTAAACGACACCCTCGCTATTTTTTTAATTTATTAGATTCGATTATAAATTCTCAAATTATTTCGGTTTATTTGAAATTGTAACATGGGGTTCACAACAACAATTTGACTTAAAATAGTAGTGCGTAGTACCAAATTGTTCATAAAAAATGCTTTTTCCAAATATGCTAATGAGCCACCCTCGTTCCATTTGAAATAATTGAATTCTGATTAAAAATACGACTTGGGCATCTTTTAACTAGCCAGAACAAAACACGAAAAACATTAGACCGTCAAATCTATTATTCCAAGTCTTGATTAAAAATTAATTAATAAATAAAATTCTATTTTCTTTAAGCGATAATGTCAAAAGTTGGCACGATATGTTATTCTATTCAGAGTGTCATTTTCTATCGAATAAAATAAAAAATATCGAGGATGCCATTTAAAAATCAAAACCTGTAGTCATTTCCGGTAGAACAGGAAGTGAGCGAAAACAATTTAATACGTCCATCAATCCTAATTTATGTCATATACTAAGATACCAAATCTCGTTTTATTTATCTAAAAAAAAAATAAAAAGTTATAGGGGTGAAACACTTTTGAGAAACACCCTATATAGGTGACATCTTACATGTACTTGCGTATTATCAGTTTTTTTCAAGCACAATGGATCTAAATGTTATCGTCGAATCCGTACTATTTGAGAGGCTATACAAGGCAAATATAGTCAAGTTAGTTTGCGAGAGCCTTCCTTGATGTAATAGTTAAAGTTAAATTGGCAATCTATAAGCAAAAACTGTACAGATTTATTAATTTTTCAAATTATATTTAATTTGTGATAAAGTAATAATATGACATGGTAATTTTAAAGTTAGTAAATTATTCCCCATTCCTTATAATAGTAAATCTGTTAGGCCTACACCAAATCTTATACTTTTTACACAATATTTTATTCTTTAGAAAAAAACCACTAAAATCAAATTTTATTAAAAGTAAAGGCTATAAGAACTTTGTAAAGACCTGATTGTATTTGCAAGAAACATTCTTGAATTGTCAATAAGCACTTTATTTAAATAATGCTTAATGTGTGGTGCAAATATTTTCAGAGCTGGTAGAACTCAATATAAAGTATAGATTCCCTTTGACTAAATTTTACTTTGGATGAATATTAAAGACATATATAACCTTTACTTAGATTTTGAGAAATACTGATTTTTTCCTCTCATTTTTGAATCCGTTTGCTTAATCCGCAAGCACATATCTGCTATTCCCGAAAGGCTATCTCACAACTATCCACTTAGGAATGCGGAGCACGATCTTTATCTGCCAACCCCGAGCTCAGAACTAGTTAAAGGCTCAATACTGTACAATGCCAAAAAAATGTACAATCATCTGCCGTTGAATATCAAGTATTTTTTCTTTTTTCATTCTTTTCCGCTTTTCGCCAAGCTCTGAAATCATACTTACTGGAGAGAGCCCTATATGCGGTAAACAACTTTTTTGTTGTTGTTTAATCATGAACAATTTTGAATTTTAAAATTTTGATCATTCACACGCTGGTTAAAAGTCTAGTATTTAATATTTTACGACTCTTAAATGATTATATCCATTATTACAACCAAACCAAACCAAACCCATAAAAATATTAGACACACACTACAATAGTATCAAAATGCTTAAACTATACTAAAAATTCATATGAAGATAATAGAGGCCAACCAATTAGTTTCCAAATGTGAATTGATTAAACATTCTAAAATAAATATAATTAATTCTTTTTTATAAAATCCATACACACACGAGCTTCGAAACTTCATGTCCATTAAGATAAAACAGGCGATTTTTTGTGCTAAATTGCTTTCCTACTATAGTACTAATAAATTATGTATTTGACTGATTTAATCCTCTATGTCCCACTGTTCGTTTCTACAGATTATTTCATGCTTCAGTCCCTCAAGGCCCTACAGGTTCCGCTGCTGGGGAGTCCGAAGCCGGAAGTGGGCCTTTCCGGTGACCAGCTTTTACCATAAAACTAGTTTTTATTAATTTTACAGTCGTCGATTTCACAATAAATAATATTATGTTATTTTCGACTAAAATATAGCGTATAACTTTCAAAATAATATCAGTTACACACAAAATAATAATATTTAATTTATTTTAAAATGATATTTTTGATCAGAAATATATTTAAAAGCACAAAAGTTAAACTTCATAGATTATAGTAAGTAATTTTGTATCAGTAACGTAGTAATAAGTTCTTTTTCGCATAGATATACTTAGTATCTATAAAATTTATATAATGGAGTCTAAAATAGTAGGTAATTTTAAAAAGAACTTCTAACGTTCTAACATAGAAATAATAAGTTATACAGTAATACTTGATAAATGTGTCTACCATATTGTAAAACTTTAAAGTTTCGATATACAAGACCAAGTTGTGTTTTTAACATTTATCTTACTTAAATGACTGATAAACTTGGAAATAAGAGCAATTATGCTCATATTAAATATAAACTAAAAAGATAAGATAACCATATTTAGGTTACTTCAAACTCTAAAGAAAGATATGGTAGATTGAGAATAATTAGAAGACATATTATTTTTTAAATTTTACTTAGCATATTCGTCGCTTTTTCAGTCAAATTAGCTAATAATACATGTGATAAAAAAAGAATATACCAGATATACAGGAACAAAACGTCAAACGTATACAGGAAAAAAAAAAACGCTCAACAACTTGTCTGGCTTTAAAAAGAACATAGTAAATACGGGTTACGGTTTAAAAATTAATCATAAAATATAAATGAATTAATTTTACCTTAAAGTGAATAAATACCTTTTTAAATAAAGACTTTAAAGATATGCAAACTGGATATAAAAGCGATCGATTAAAAAGAAAATAAAATACAAAATTTAGAGTACATTACTAAATGCATATTCCGCCTGTCTGTAATATAATTCTGATGATACTCACAGAAGCTTTTAGATGTTAATATGCACATCTGTAAGGATTCAACATTGAGGATTCTTATTGAGGAACATATTACATATACCTATACTATTTTTTAAGGGATATTTTGTTAAAGAGCAGAAAGCACTTGCCGTAAAAGTAGCACTTTATTAGCTTTTATTCACTAAATTACTTCATCTTACGTATCCATTTAAAATAAAATAGAATTATTATTAGTAAGTTTAATCAGTTTTATTATTCTTAAATAATTATTACATTACTTACATTTTCATGTTCATGTTTCATGAATCTGTTTTCATTAATAAAACTAAAATCGCGCAACAAGATGCATGATTCTTTCAAAATTGCTGAAGAAGTGGGAAATGATAATATCGGTACATTGTCTAGTTTCAATCCGATTGAACAGATCTGACTTACTTTAATTCATCAGAAATAATGATAATATCATTATGATAATATCATTATTTCATATTATGCTGGGCAGCGATTTCGGTAGGACTGAACTTATTCAAACGGATACAAATATACTATCATTATATTTGCAAACACAGGATAGGGTCGACTTAGAATGATATTTAGAAACCAACCTTCTAACTTCAATTTTATTGTAGTTTCTTTTGATTTATATGTTGACCAAAAATCTAGTTTTATTTTGCCTTTTTCTTATTTAAAATGGATAACAGTAAAAAGGTAACACACAAATATCAAAAAATACACTAAATAAACTCACTAAAATAACTGTTTCATCTTATATATTAATTTATCTTTGTTTTTTTTTGTACCTTCTATCCTTATCTGATATTTAGAAATTGAAAGGACAAATCTTAAGATGTATTAAAATACTACTGCCATTACTCGCTGACGAGTATTTGACACGCATCAGAAAATGGTCACGCAAGGCATTTTCTTTCATGAGCTTTCCTGTGACTGAAAAGCCCGATACGTGATGTTATCTGTCTACCGCACTCCGGACATTCAAAAATCTCATTGCTTTGTTGCCTCTTTACTTTTTGGTTGTCGCTGTTAAATGAGTTTGCAACTCTTCTCCATTGCGTTCTATTGTGAGCTTCTTTCCACTCATTCTGCATGTTAATCCCCTAGGATTTTTCGTGGAAAATATCCTTGTACCTTTTGAGTTGTCCATCCTCTCGGCCTCCTCTTACCATTAACAAGCTCAGCGTAAAGCAGATATTTTGGTATGCGGTTTTCTTGCACAGCGGGATTTTATAATCATGACTTCAATACTCTCGCACTTAGCTTTTTAAAGGACCAATGTGTTTCACAACCCCCCCCCCCCCATAATCAGAAGATTTCGCCTGTAGACTAAATGTAAAATACTAACATTTTACTGAACTAAATACCAATATCTTGATGGATTGTAAAAAAGCACTCTTCTACTCACCGATTGAGCCAATGGTATGACCATTAGCCGGATGCATTGCACCCCTGTGTGGTCCTGGAGGTCCGCCCGTGTGGCCATGGTAGTTGTTATTATCGGGGGACGGGGGATGCGGTGATGTTAGCTCCCCCGGACCCCCGTAAGGATGGTAGTGCGGATTCATGGAGGCTAGGGCGCTGGCTGCCAGTTTGAAGGGGTGGTGCGCTGACTGGAGCGCTGAGTGACCGGAGCAGAATAGGATGGCTGGAGAGTGCTGGCTAGGCTACTGCAAAAAAGGGCGGTGAAGAACGACTGCAGCGGTTCTGAAAAAGGAAATGAGTATTATTGGTAATGTAGAAATTAAAATTTTCATTAGGTAAATAAACCAAATTTCTTTAGTTAATTTATTACAAAAGTTTGTAACACGTTTTGTTTTTTGATATTGTTTACTGCTAGTGATGACTGGTATTGGTCTTGGGCTCTTGGTCTTAGTCTTGCATAGAAAGCAAGACGAAGATTAGCGTTTGCTGCAAGACCAAAAGAAAGGCCGACCATTGAAAGATTTCCACAAGACCAAGATGAAGCATACCAGACTCTTGCGGACTTGCATTTTTTTTCAGTTTATGACAAATATTAACTGTGTACTTAAGTTTTTTACCAGGAATATTATAAAACAGTTTTAAAATAATAATTAACTTTCTCATAGATTCTTATTAAATGCCGCCTAATCCAGCAATGATAATCATTACTGTAATTCTGAAATACAAAGACTATATTGTATTGAAAAGAGATGATACAGCATGTATACGTGCTGCGTAAATTAAATATACTATTCTACAGTATTTCCATTCGCCACCTCGTTAACTCGAGGTTAATTTTGGCCTTACAAAGTTTCATTTAAATTAAGTACCGCTTTCTATCTTCGATAAATAAGCGAGATAGGGAACAACCGAATGAAATTCAAATTTTCCTTTGAATGCAAAATTACTTTAGTCGCAATTTCTAACAGAATGCGTACGTCATAAAAGCGAGAATAGTAAAATTGTGCATAATTGGAATATAATAGTGGGTAATAAAATGTAAAACTTATTTAATAATATTGAATATAATCAAAACGAGATCAAATACAAGTCTTAATAAATAGTTTGAAAAGTTACAACACTTTTAAAGTTTCTTCTTGTTTGTTCGTCTAGTAATTTTTATTAATAGCCTATAGAAATTGAAAAAAGTTAAATAAAGTTATTATATCACTTGTTATCATGTTTGCTTTGCAACATGGTAGAGGTTTCAATATTTCCATTTGTTTTTTAAGCACCGCCATTCAAGAACTGAACACCAGGCTAAAAGAGCTAAATGATCAGTCCCAGAAAATAGGCCTTAAAATGAACTTAAATAAGACCAAGATGATGAGCAACATTAGCCATAACATTACGGTAAAAAACGTTGTTATTGAAAACATAGATCTTTATATATATTTAGGTCATAAAATCAAGCTGGGTAAAGAGAACCAGAATGCGGAGATTAAACGCAGGACCCATTTGGCATGGGTGGCATTCGGAAATATGAGTGATATTTTCAAAGATAAAAAGGTGTCCATCAACCTAAAGAAAAAGGCATACGACAGCTGAATCCTATCTGTGCTTATGTATGGCTTAGAAACTATGGCAATTATCCGAGATACAGCAAAACAACTACGAGTTGCACAAAGAGCCATGGAGAGAATTATGTAAGGATCAAACCCGAGAGTTGAAGAGCCATGGAGAGAATTATGTAAGGATCAAACCCATGGAGAGAGAGAACTTTTTGAACTACAAGAAGTGTAGGACGCCTGGTGGGACGACCAAAACGATCAAAATAGCGGCAGGAAGACAATGGATGAGATTGGCTAGAGATCGGGTAGCTGAAAAACATAGAAGAGGCCTATATCTAACACTGGATGGAACCAGGATGAGAAAGAAGAAAAAAAAACATTTTTACCACTTTCCAGCTGACCTTTATCCAGTGAAACCTTAAGAGTTAATTTCACTAGTCCGAAAAAATAGCAAAATAAGAGTTCGACATTTAACGTTTTATGTAAAACTGGCTACGTAGTTTTACACAAAGGAAGAAGGAAATTAAGGATAAAGGATTATACTATATCCGTATTGTAGCACATTTTTAGACAACTTCTTTATTTTTAAGATTTTGATGGGCAAACATCAACAAAATATTCCTTATGTTTGGACTAGATTTTCTCGAAAATAAAGACATAATTAAAAATTCCGTTACAATACGGAAATAGATTGAAGTTTTGTGATTACAGTGATATATAATTTATATGGTTTTGCAACTAATGGCTTAATCAAGCTTATATTTCCTTCGGCCGCACACCCGCTTTACCCGACACCTGAGAGCGACCCGAACAGTACAGCGTAATAGACTCTTAAGTAATAAAAAAAGCTTTCGAATAAAATAACCTAAAAAATGACCGAGATTGATATAAAAATATAATTAGGCTGCAGGCCCAGGCGACATCCGGCGAGGCTTATTCCGTCCTCAACGAGACTCGCCGCGAATTAATCTTCATTAAAAGCGAGTTTGGAAGGAACCACATAACGAACAATTAGACTTTAAACATCTCTGTAGCTGTATCTCCCCTGACGGCTCTCTTATTATATCGTCATTATCGATTCCCCGTCGTGTCGTTGTTACGGCGATGACTGTGTAAGTCCTAAAATCCTAATTGCACAGTCACACCAGGCTCTTTTCACCGTTAATTGGGGCGGAGCCTTACACTGGGGGGCAGTTTTAAATTGATGTTTTTCTTGGGTTCTCTCGCTTCACCGAAGGTCTCGCATCATGGTTTATAATAATATGAAAAATATCGTTTTATTTGCATCGTTTTCGGAGGTTTTATAATTTTATTGTATCGAAATTAAAGACAACAAAAGCAGTAAAACTTATTGATATATTTTTAAACAGATCAATCATTGAAAAATATAAAATATGTCATTTTTCTTGTGTATTTCTCGCTATACTGATAGTATCTTCCAATTTTAAGGTTCCATCTTTAATAAATACTCGAATCGAAGGTACCTGTCGTCGTTTTTTATTTTAGACTACAGCATGCTCCAGTTTTTTGTCGTTAAATGATATACTTGATTTTGTCTTTTCATGGAGACCCCCTTTTTTAATTGAATACAATATAACAAAGAAAATTAATCACTTTTTATACACAGTATCGATTGAGATATAAGAAATTTGTGATTCTCGATTTCTTCGATACTACTTTCCTATTTCAAATTTGATAGAGAATACTTCCATTAAATCCTGGCCACTAAATTTCCACTACAGCGTGATCAAATGATTGTATCCTACCTTAGTGATTTTTTGCATGTAATAGTTTCTTTTGTTATTTATTCTTAATTGATATAGGTATTTTTTTTCCAAGAGTCATACTCATTTCCGATTTTTTTTTTCTTTGTATCTAACCTGATGGATGTTTTTTTTTTGAGTTTCAATTAATAACTCTAACGAATTTGCTGTATTTATGTGTTTGATGATTTTATATCTCCATTTTCCATCAATGAATAAGCGGGAAAAACTAGAAATAAAATAAGTTTTAGCAAATAAAAAACGTTTTAACAAGTTTGTCGAATAAGTAATAAATTTGAATTCTTCTTTTCGTAATTCTTTCCGATTTCTGAATTTATTTAGGTATTATTTTTATTACTACAATTTTAACTATCGGAAACAGGAAATAGCCATCTTATTCGATAATAAAGCGACACTAAAAGCGAACAACTCAGTAATCATCAAGTTGGTCAAAGAATGCCTAAAGAAGCTGAACAAATTAGGCAAAGAAAATACGTCCTCTTTAGTAAAGCATTAAATAATTCTGGTAATTAAATAAAAACAAATATTTAATACTTTACTATCAGAATATAAACGAAAATAAAATAAAAAAGTCTTTGCCCCGACCCGGATTCGAACTCTGAATCGTCGGTTCGTGGTTGGAAACTCTACGCACTGCGCTATGGAGATATGTTCGATTTATATTCAATACTAGAATATAGAGGACTAATAAAAATTTAGGATCTTCTTTCAATGCGCAGTATAGAACACAACGTTTACCGACAGTCAGACGGGCCGCATGCTGTTCTAGAGAGCATAGTAAAAGATATCTCAAAGAGCCAGACGCCTTAAAATAGTTGTTTTCCGACGTTGCTAGCTCTCGTACGATTAGTATCAAGATGTTTTTATTAAATTCTGATATTATTGTTTTGAAAATTTACTAAGTAATGTTCTCACTAAAACTGATGAACCATTCAAACTAACTTTATCTAACCAGCAATTGTACCAAATGATATCGGTTACATGATATGCACTGTAAGCAATAAGCAATTCTTATACTATTCCTCAAATTCCTCCAGTTCCTCTAATTTATATTTGATTTATTTTTAATTCCAATAATTCCAGAATGTCCTTAGATGTCAACTGAAGTGAATTTCAAGAAATAATCCCGTTACAGGTGTAGACATTATTTATAATACAATTTCAGTTGGAACTATTGATTTTATAACAGAAAATTATACAAATATGCCATGATGCACTAAAACATTATTTTATTTAAAAATTATTTAGTTATTTATTTCAAAATAATTATAAAATTTATAATGACAGAATTTTACATCATTTAGAAAAATGTAAAGAAACATAAGTAGTACAAAATTAGTTACAGCTATAAACAAAGGCAAGTTCTGATTTAAAACATAATATTTTTTTGTTGATAATAAATGTAAATATCATTCAAACTTCGATATTTTTTACTTAGTAACATAAACAATGAGTTTCGAACTCGAACCAAACACAAAAATAAAAAAAAATTGCAAGTAACGAAAAGTATCATAATAATTAATTAAAAACCGAAAACCTATTTGGAAGTTTCTGATAAATTTTCATTTACGGAAAGGTAATAAAAATAGAGCGAGATTGAAAAGACAGAGACAGAGCGAAGGAAACGCAGACGGAGCCTACGAGCAACGTATTAAAAAATTAATTAGTTTCGGTAAGTCATTAGGTGGGATCTGGAGAAATTAAAACGGCAGAACAAGATTTATAATTCGGATAACCGAATCGACTTTATAACGAGTTAAATGAAGTATTCCCTTACTTATTAGCGGAAAGGGGTGGAAGAGAGGGACGCTGGAGGTTGGAAAGGGGGTTAAAAAGAGGTACGGCGGGGTGGGGTGGCAAAACTGCCCTATCAGAACCAGTAGGGATGGGACAAATAAAATAAATGTCGATATGATACTCTATTATCTCAATTCTGATACCAATTTGA